ACAGATGGAAAGGATATGGGAGTGGACGCCCCATGGAAACATCACTGGGGTACTGGTACCATCCTAGGGAGCAGCCTAAAGCCTTCTCAACTGTGGTTATTTGCCCAATTCCTGCCATCAGCGTAGCTGCACCACTGCAATCCCCTAGCATAGAAAAGGTAAGCCAGTACTGGTGTACTCTGCTCGAAATGGGTAAACTGCACTGTGGGCTGCTGTGGCCTGCAAAGGTGTTTCAATGACCCTACAGTTGCCCAGTGGCTCAGAACTTTTGAGCCACAGGGATTCTCACCCCATCATACACTAGGAACAAGGACTTAAGGTGGGATAGCATGGAGTGAAAACATCCTGTATGTTAGCTAGAACGGCTTTAATCATCTCATCATATGAATGTGCTGGTGTCTCTAAACGTCTGACTGCCAGAAGAGGGGACTGGGCAATAGGGGATAAGTCACTCTCTGTTGCTGTTCATTTCCTCTGAAGCATCTAGCACTGGCCACCGTTGGAAGACAGGATACTGGGCTAGATGGACCATTGATCCGACCCAGTATGGCCATTCTTATGTGCTGTTCTGCTTCACAAAGTGACTCTAAATAAGATGCTGTGGGTTGCATGTTTACTGTGCCTCAGTGCATATCACTGAGAATATCAACCATAAAATGATGGTTTTCCTAACGGCCAGTCCTGCAAACTAAATCTGGGAACTGAGAGTCAAGCTGTGATCTTTTCTGCTCAAGCACCACCACCAAAAACCTACCCTCAACTGAAGTGAATTACAGGCAAAGGCCACTAACGTATCAGTAATACTCAACTGAATACTTACTACTGGTGCTGATTCAGAAGCCACAGAGAATTTATTGTCTTTCAAGATCAGAGAGTGCACGGTTGGCAGTTAAAGGGAAAACACCTTTTTTTTTTTTTTTTTTTTTGTATAAATTGAGCAAATTTGATCTTGAAATACAACAACGACCAGATCTTCAACTGGTGTAACTTGGCATGAGCCCACTGAAATTAACGAAACAACACCACTTTACACCAGCTGAGGATCTAAGCCCTAATCATGCAACTTCACAGTGCCCATATTCTAAGGTACAACTTCACTTTATATAAGTGACAAGTAATTTCCGAGTGATAAGACAGTGGTTACGCAAAGGGCCTGTCCTCAAAGAGCACCAGGCTGTGTGGCTGTGGATGGAGGGACAGCACCATCTCTCCTAGTGAAAGAAGCTGCAAACTGATTGTAATTTATCACAAGCCTATGACTAGTCTGAACCCAGACTATGGAATTAGGCCTAAGAACAAAGGGCATTCAGAGCCTCTCATATGGATGCTCACTAATCCTCTGTCAGAACATTACCTCAGGGGATAAACACTTGGCTATGCTGCAGCTATTGCTCAAGAAGTGGAAGGCAGCCAGGCTCTGGCCGAATGACTGGGGCTCAGCACATTTTGGTATCACTGGGCCCAGAGGTTGTAGTGAGTCAGTGTTGCCCTGTGAGGTAACGCTGAGTGAAGAAACTCTGCAGCAGGGGTTCACAGCCTGGGGGCTGCAAACAGGTGGTCGCGAGCACTCTGCCTGTGCCATATTGCTAAATGGGAAGGGGACCCCAGCTGCTTACCGAGAGGAGGGTTGTGGGGGCAGAAGGATTCCTGGTATGGAAAAGGCTGGGAACTGAGAAGGCTGTGTCGGTTTCTCAGAAGGGGCAGGCTACAGGTTCCCAGCTGGAAGTCAGGGGAGATTCTGGGGTGATGAGGTCTCCTTTGGGTTTATAATCCAATCTAACCAAGACCTCCCACCAAGGGAGGATTTCCTGACTCTTCAAGGGTTTGAGTAGCTGTTGCTTTAGGACAATTTACCTACCAGATGCTTTGTCCCTCTGACACCAGGAATGATTTTATCCAGCAGCCAAGAAAAAGGAACAGGGTGAAGAATATCAGGGCACTGACCATGGCAACAGAGCAGGGCCTTTTGGCAGTCAGACAGTTTTGGCCTGCAGCCATACCACCAAGGGCTGTGATCTTGTCAGATCTCACCAGGTGCTGCAGGAAGCAGTCTTGTTGATTTAACAGGTAGTACTTTTCCCTTTGACTTAGAAGTGAACCAGGCCCCAGCATGGTGCCAGGGGGCGCTATACTATGGGAAGTGCAGCCTTTCAGAGGAGACGTAAAGCTAAGGGCCTGCTCACACATGATCGTTACATAACCGATGGGAGCTTCTGAAAGAATAGGGCTTCTAACCATGCTATCCCTGATCAAATTCTCTTTGGCTTGAAAAGGTAACAGAAGACTAAAAGGACTACAATAAGAAAGGGTGAATCCACGTGTCCCCATAATGCTGTGCCCATCGTGAGCTTTGGAAAGAGGCACTGAGGTCTTTGCTGTGGACCTGAGATTGCCCTACCACTAGGCTTGACAGGATTAGATTTTTACTGGTAGATACTGGTCAACATTGATTTCACTGTGCTCACACACACACCGGCAAACAAATATTTCCATCAATTATAATTGAAATTTATACACACAAAGTAAAAAACCGGTTCCTTGAAAACAGAGTCCCACCTTAATATGTATACAACGTGTTATAATGAATCTGCAGAAAGCATGCATTGGCAACTCTTCTAAACCAGCCAGCTTTAACTTTTCGAATCTCGAAATCGACTGTCCTTAAATAATTATTGTATGAGCCCCATCCATAATTTCCCTCAACTGTGAAAACTGAAATTGGTGAAAACAGGATAAATCCTTAATACCCATAATGTCGCACACCTGTGAATATTTTAATCGATACAAATTGAAACAAATGAATCACAACAAACATAGCTATCAAAAATATACAAAAAAGAAAAAGAAAAAGAGAAATCTAATTCTGCCAAGTCCACTTAGAAGGAACATGTTTACCACTACTTTCCTTCCTTGTTTACACTTCCCACCCCCATCGCCCACAACAGCTGATGCAAAACCTTGACTCACACGTTCTATTGACCTACACTCCTTGTTCCACGCCAGCGCTGTCCCACACAGCAACTTTATGCAAGGAAGAACAATGCCTCTGAGCTGGGTGACAAGGCCTCTCTCTGATTCAGTAAAGCCCTTGATAAGAAATGTCATCCCTTCACCGAGTAATTTTAGCCAGTCAGATAAGAATCTCTATCAGGCTTAAACATATGGCTAACTGCAGAGCACACAGCAAACGAGCAGGGTAATTTATTTGCTTTGTGTTAAGGGCACCCCCGGACCAAGAAAAGCTGATTCAATACTCTAAATTACACTCCATTCTTATTTGGAGGCCTGGTATATGCTCATGCTGGCAGTGATACAAGCTTGTCTCGATGGCTAAACAGAATCCCCTGTCCTGTACCTCCTCTCCTCTGAGCATAAAGCTACTAAGGAGACAATGGTAACCATATGAATAATAAAACACGGCGCCTTAATGGTGTTATACACATTCCTGCCCTAGTTAGCAAATAAGTAATACTTACAACTTGTAAAGCTCTGTTCACCCAAAGCTCTCACAGCACTTTATAAAAAGGTGGGTAAGTTTTATCTTCATTTACAAAAGGGGCCAACTGAGAGGTTAAGTGACAAGGTCACACCGTGAGTCAGTAGCAGAGCCAGGAAGAGCTCTCCTGCTTTGTGAGACCAGAACCACACTTTAAAATTAAAGTTTTATAGCACCACGGGCGTAGGATACTTAAACATTTTCAGTGCCACGTATAACTTAGTACCCATTACTTTGGTCTACTGGGCCAGAACACAGGGCCAGATGCTGTCCTTTCAACAAGGCTACTCACAGAGTAAGGTGCTACTCAGTATAAGGTGGCAGCATCTGACCCACGATGGCCACACAAGCACATTCATAAGAAGCACTTAAAGTTCTTATTCTCGCTCTTTTTAACAGACATGCCTATCATTTAAAAAGTCCGAATGCTTTTGTTCTTTAAACATGGGGCAGTTCATTCCCAGCCTGAGAGCTGGCATGCCGAGTTTCATTCCGAAATTGACTTTTACAGCTGAGTCATAAACCACTGAAGCTGGGTTTACAAGGAAGTGGATTGATCTGGCGTTTGGAAATGGGAGACGGAGCCTTTCATCTCTTGGATTCAAACCCAGTCCAGGAGAGAAAGAAGCATGTTTGTTTTTTAAACTATTTGCCGGCTATTCATTGATGTACGTGAAATGAGTATGTGGTATCAAGGAATGTGAGGAAGTCTGTGGCAAAGCAGGGAACTGAACAGAGGTCTCCCAAACCCTACCCACTTGAAGGTATGTCTACACTGCAATTAAACACCCCCAGCTGACCCCGCCAGCTGGATCGAGCTCAGGGGATGTTTAATTGTGGTGTAGATGTTCAGGCTCAGGCTGTAGCCCAAGCTCTGGGACCCTCCTGCCTCGCCCTCGAGCTCGGCCCTGGCATTTTTCTAGCATGCTGAGGGGCCTCAGAAAGAAAAAAGGTTGAGAACCCGGCGTTAGATTATAAAAAGTGACAATTAATCCTCTAATGTAGTTTGTTCTATTGGTTTTTTTTCTTGCATTTCTTCTCTCACAGCTTTGGACAATGTGATGGATTACTCAGTTTCACTTTTGTTATTCTAGTTGCTTTGAAAATTGCATTAGCACAAGGCTGCAGTGTTTTGGGTGCAAATAATGCCGGGGAATATTTGAGGGACATTCCCTCCTCTCCAAAAAATATTATTTCTACTGGAATAAAATAAAATCATGGACTCTGTTCTGTTTGTGAAAAACTTACTTTTACCAGATTTAACTACATGGACCCATTGGACTGGATGATTTTTACAGAAACGCCGCTACCATCGCTGCTGGCCCATGGCAATTTCCAGATTTACCTTGTGCAGGTGGGTACATCCAACCGGAAGGAGAGCAAACCAGAAAAGACAGTGCAACAGAGATTGTAGGAAGCTGGGGAAACCACTCAGGTAAAAAGCAAGCATTTGTACACGGCATCATTTACTCTTTTGATGCCTCGGTTTTGTTTTGTTTTTTACCTGCAGATCCTCATGTAATGTGTCACCCTCATCCTCAGGAGGCCTCTTTGCAACATAACTAGCAAGTTTTCCACCTGCAATGTCGTTCCTGAAGCATTCCATTTCTCTTGGTATGTTCCATCTCTCCTAAGGTTAGAGATATATTCCAGTCTCTTCCTCCTTTTGATTGCTCCCAACAGCAGCAAGCACTCCATTTGGTATTGCCAAGTACCCAAGATCATCTTTTCTTCATCTGTGATTATCCTTGGGATATAGAATTAAAAACCACCCGCCTTCCAAAAGCCTATTTGTTTGTGCCTTGAGAGTCCAGAATAGCTTCACAGCCAACGATGAAACAAGCCAATTCAGAGCACGCACCAACTTCGCCATCACCGTCACTGACAACCTGTGAAGAAGAGAGGATAATTTTAGGGTTTAATTTGGACAGATTGCCCCATCTTTTGGCCTCTACGTGTCATCATTAGTAATAAATAAAATAAATAATGGTACCGAACTCTTTATATAGCGCTTTTCATCAGGAGTTCTCAAAGTGATCTCACAATCCTTAACATATTTGTCCTCAACATCCTGGGAGGAAGGGCAGTGCTATTATCCCCATGCTACAAATGGGGAACTAAGGCACAGGGAGACTCAGCCCTGGTCTAACACTACACAGTTAGCTCGACATAAGACAGCTTATGTCGACCTATGTCAGTGTACACACTACAGCCCTGCTCCTGCTGATGTAAGGGCCCTACTACACTGACATCATAACTCCACCTCCATGAGAGGTGCAGGGCTTATATCGATGTAGTTAGGGCCACACAGTGTCAACGTAGACACTGCGTTACTTACATCTGCTGTTGGCGGTCTTGGGCTACTGTTGGATGTCCACTCCAAGCCCTGCTGCCCTCCAGGGTCCCAGCTCCCTGCTCAGAGGCCAGCTGCCCCCCTGGGCTCTTGGTTCCCCGACGGGAACATGGCAGCTGATTGAACTCCGGGTGACTCCCCTTGCTCACAGCTGGGAGCAGGAAAGCTGGAAGCCGTGGGGGGGGGGGGGGGGAGGGGATTTCCATTGGGGAGCTGTGCGGAGCTGAGAGCCCAGGTTCTCAGACCCCCACACTGCCCCTCTTCAGTGGGTGGAAGTGCTCCCGGGGAGGACACGCACCACCGACAGAAGAAAGGTAGTACAGACATCAGGTCAACTTAAGATTGCAATGTAGACATGCCCTAACTGAATTACCCAAGAATGTGAGGAAGTCTGTGGCAGAGCAGGGAACGGAAACCAGATCTCCCAAGCCCTAGTCCGGTGCCCTAACCACTTGAAGGTACGTCTACACTGCAATTAAACACCCCAGCTGACCCCTGCCAGCTGGATTGGGCTCAGGAGCTGTTTAATTGTGGTGTAGATGTTCAGGCTCGGGCTGCAGCCAAGCTCTGGGACCCTCCTGCCTCCCAGAGTCCCAGACCCTGGGCTTCAGCCCAAGCCCGAACAGCTACATTTCAACTGAATAGCTCCTGACCCTGATCCAGCTGGCAGGGGTCAGCCAGGGGCGTTTAATTGCAGTATAGACATACCCTTGATCTAACCAGCCTTCTGAAAACATCTTCTTCCCCAGAGAGAATGAGAACAGAATTGCCTTTACAGAACCAACAGAAGGAAAATCTTGTTCTTGTCCATAAAGCCAGCAGACAAAAGATATAACTCAGGAAGTCAGAACGTTGAGTAGGGAGGTATTTAGTTACTTGAAATGGCTTTGGTACACAGAAAAGAACATAGCTTTCTATACAAGTTGTATCCCAAAAGGCTTTCCTGAGTTGAACAGTTGACCATGCATGGTATACATTTCAGACAGTAGTGGTGTAAACACAGTGGGCTGAATCCTGTACTGATTTACACAGTGATTGCCCAGGGTCAGTGCAGATGTTGGCCTCATTGTTTGTAGAAGTTTGATCCAATACAGAGACAGGAACAACTGCAAAATTGAGTCTGGATTTGAATCCAAATTTTCCCAAAGCTGGGAGGTGTTCGCACCTGGAGTGTCTGCTTCAACCTGTCTCCTGATCTTGCTAGGCGCGGAGGCCTACTTCAATGGGAGTGAAAGGTTCTCAGAACCTCCAGGAGCGACTTGTGCTCTGTAGCTTGTTGAATCAAGCCTATGGCAACTGAACTGAACCACTTCATCATACTGCTCATAACAAAGGGAAACCAGGAGGTACAGATGAATGAGCAAAGCTTTGTTCACAGATGATATTTTAAAGGGCTGGAGAGTTAACCAAGTGGAGAGGCACAAGAAGGCTGCTCCAGGTGGCACAAGCTGCAGAGGAGGAGGCACTCTCACTAGAAATGGACAGAGAGGAAGCCACTGTGTCAAATAACCAAAGAGAACTGGGAGGGGAAGAGAGAAAGAAATGGTCTGGGAGGCAGGCTTGGGCAAGTCCATGCACATGGCAAAAATAAGGAGAGATTCTGATTTTGGTGGCAGCCAGCAGAGGGGTTGGATGATGGGCACAAAGTGATGTGTTTGTCTGTGTGTCCGAGTGGAAAGCAGCACACAGTAGGGTCTGGACTTAAACTGAATCTCTCAACTACAGTACTAGCTCAAGCTTCAGTGTCACTTGATCTTCAACCTGTCCCGCTCCCCTGATTGGCTAGTTATCTTAAGTTTAAAGCCCCACTGAACTCAAGCTAGAGAATTGAGAGTGTGGACGAGAGTCAGGTGAGGGGCACCAATTGAGTTCCACCTCGTTCTAACACTGCAGGGAAGACATACCCTTAGGAGACCTCAGCTGGGCAACTGGGATCCCTGAAACAATCCTCTGAATGAGAGGAGGAGCAGTGATATCGATGCAGTGGGGTTGCAGGGTGGTATCAGCACAATATAAACCAACCCAAGGAAGAAAAAGTCTGAAGCCATTTCTGTAAGGCTTGCCTGACACCAACAGCTGCCGCTGGGTTTTCCACAAAGGGAGCCCGATTTCTAAGCCATTCATCTCTACGACACGAGGGCAAGGCTTCCCAAGCAGAACTGCAATGTATGCAACATGTACCGTGGCCACGCTGGGCCTGGTTTCAGGTTAACTCTCCACACTCTCGCTCTGCACACTCGCAGAGCAAACCCTACCAAAAGCTGCTCTCGCCTGGCCGCTGGGTTTCGCTCCCTTCTGCAGCTAGCTTAAGAAAATACTTCTTCCTGTGGTGGCAACCTGAAATTGTATCACCTTGATTGGGTAGAAGAGCTATGACCCTCGCATACTTCTCAGACTCAAGATGGTGATATTTTGAAAAAGCAATTCTCTGCTGTCACGTTACACAGGTAGCAGAAAGGTGCAAGTTTCTATTCTCTCACTCCCCCCCCCCCACCGCCCCTACCACCACCCCAAATCATAGAAATGTAGGGCTGGAAGGGACCTCGAGAATTCATCTAGTAGAGCCCCCTGCACTGAGGCAGGACCAAGTAAATCTAGAAATCTAGACGGTCCCTGACAGGTGTTTGTCAAACCTGTTTTCAAAAACTTGCACAACCTCCCTTGGAAGCCTATTCCAGAGCTCAACTACCTTGACAGTTAGAAAGATTTTCCTAATATCTAATCTATGCCTTCCTTGCTGCTGATTGAGCCCATTACTTCTTGTCCCATCTTCTGTGGACATGGAGAACAACTGATCACCGTCCTCTTGATAACAGCCCTTAACACATTAGAAGGCTTATCAGGTCCCCCCACAGCCTGCTTTTCTCAAGACTAAATGTAAAAAAAAAAATTAACCTTTCCTCAGAGGTCTAAACCTTTTCTCATTTTTGTTGCTCTCCTCTGGACTCTCTCTAATTTGTCCATGTCTTTCCTAAAGTGTAGCGCCCAGAACTGGACATAGTCCTCCGGCTGAGGCCTCACTAGTGCTGAGTAAAATGGGACTCCCATGACTTACAGGACACTCCTGTTAATACATCCCAGAATGCCATTAGGCTTTTCTGCAGCTGCATCACATTGTTGACTCTTATTCAATTTATCCACCACTATAACCCCGATCCTGTTCAGCAGTATGACCACCTAGCCAGTTATTACCCATTTTGTTGTGCACTTGATTCTTCCTTCCTAAGAGAAGTATATTGCACTTGATTTTTATTGTATTTCATCTTGTTGATTACAGACCAATTCTCCAATTTGTCAAGATTGTTTTGAATTCTAATCCTGTCCTCCGAAGTGCTTGCAACCCCTCCCAGTTTGGTGTCCTCTACAGAATTATAAGCATTACACTCCATTCAATTATCCAAGTCATTAATGAAAATACTGGCCTCTTACTATTTCTCCTATCTTTTCTTTGCATCAGGATAGCATGCAGTTGTGTCTTTAACGTTGTTTCCTTGAGAAACTGCTAGCTCTCCTGAACTCCTTTTTCCCTTATGTTTTCTTCCCATGGGATTTTACCTGCCAATTCTCTGAGTTTCTCAAAGTCTGTTTTTTGAAGTCCATTGTCCTCATTCTTTTGCGCTCATTCCTTCCTTACCTTAGAACCATGAAATCTATCATTTCATGATCACTTTTACCCAAACTGCCTTCCACCTTCAGATTCGCTACCAATTTTTCCCTGTTCATCAGAATCAAGTCTAAAATGGCTGTCCCGCTGGTTACTTCCTCCACTTTCTGGAACAAAAAGTTGTCCGCAGTACGTTCCAAGAACTTACTGGAAATCTTGTGTTTTGCCATATTACTTTTCCATTGGATGTCTGGGCAGTTAAAGCCCGCATTACTACCAGGTCTTGTGTTTCGGATATTTCTGTTATTTGCTCTAGAGATACCTCACCCCACCTTCTCTTCCCCATTTGGTGATCTGTAGTAGACCCCTACCATGATGTCGCCCCTATTTTTTACCCCTTTTATCTTTATACAGATACTCTCAACTGGTCTGCCTTCCACCTCCTCCTGAACCTCAAAACAAGTGTATATATTCTTGACATATAATGTAATACCTCCTCCTTTATTACCTAGCCTGTCCTTCCTGAGCAAGCTATACCCCTCTATTCAAATATTCCAGTCATGAGACTTATGCCATCAAGTCTCTATGATGCCAAATAACTCATAATTTAGCTTACATACGAATACTTCCAGTTCTTCCTGTTTATTCCCCATACTCCTTGCATCTATGTAGACACCTAAGATGATGAGCAGATTTCCCCACTGATTACCCTTCTGTTGTTCCAATGACCCTACTGCACTCTGCCATACCCCCCAACATACAACACTCTGTTAAAGTTGCCCCTTTTTAATACTTATTCCCTCAGCACATGGAGTTGCTGAGGGGAACTTTGTAATGAAGGAACATGATTATAACCCACCAAATGGGAAGATGTTTCCTTTCCTGTAATTTTGGTTTCTATATTTCAGGTACATCAATCCATGAAGTGCCAG